ATGACACTAGTCCGTAAATACCGGGTATTATGGCTCGGATCGTATTATATCCCAAATTGACAACCTTTAACGAAACTTATTTTCTTTGATTTATTTACCCTTTCACCTTCATGAATTTACTTACCATTTGTTTGAAATAGCATAATACTTATAATCTCCAAATAATCTTGTCATTGAACTGATGTCAATTACCTTACAACAAATTCAACGTACAATACAACCGAGCGTAACATCATCGTAATATAATACTGCAGAGCATAACATCATCGTAATATAATACTGCGGAGCATAACATCGACGAAATAATACGGGGCGTAACAATGACCATATCTTATATGGCGTGGGTGGTTATATTTTCTTCTTGGACTACCTCTGTGCTCTGTATATTAGAATTTCGTCATAACAACCGACCTAATGTTTATTGATAAACCCGTGGTCGATTGTTTTCTGGTCATAGATGTTTGTTGAAATTGGGGCTTATTTTTCTTATTCTAATCATAAGTTTAAAATTATTAAATGTGACATAGCATATTATCATGTAGGTAACATGAGGAGGAAATCAGCTGCTAAGAAGCATATTCCATTGACAAAACCTTCAAAGCCTTCAAACAGGGAAGAAACTGCAGAAAAAGAAGCATCGCCAAGTAAAACAATTCCTAAGCCTTCAAAAACTGCTACTAGAAAATGAAAAGTAGATACTTCTAAAGCTTCCCTTAGAAAAAAAATGCCGAGATTTCTTAGCGTGATAGGAGAAAAAAGAACAAAGAGCCATCAAAGTCTATTAGTAAAAAAAGAACAAGATCAAAGTCTGGATTCATTGACGAGAAAATACCTGTTAGTAAAAATTATATTTCAAGGAGGTTAGAATTAGAGGGTGTTGATGAGGAGGAGGAAGAAGAGTTGGACATAAATGCAACACAAACTCAAATGGAAGAACATGTTTCTGGAAAAAAAAATTATTGGAGATGAAAAGGATAGTGATGATGAAGCTTTAGGTGTGGAGGATGATGAAAATGGTGATGATACTGCTCAAGAGGTTGATAAAGATGCTGAAGAAGAAAAAGAAGATGTAGCAGAAGAAGAACATGTAGCAGCAGAAGAAGAAGTAGTAGAAGAAGAAGAAGATGAAGATGATGATGATGAAGAAGAATATGATGAAGATGATGAACAACTTGAAGATGGTGCAGATGAACTGTAAAGTGAAACAAATGCAGCAGTTGAAGGTGACCAAGATGCTCTGTCAATTCATGTGCTTGTAAGGGCGATCCACGCATCCAAATACAGATTCAGGACTTTTTTAAGAAAGCAAAGACGTTTACCGGCCAAGATAAGTGTGAGGTCTAGAATCAATGTATTCTACGAGTTCAAGGATAAACTTAGAACAATCAAATTAATGGAAAAGTTTAATAGTGGTTGTTTTGGTCAGTTTGCAAAACTTTCAGAGCACTGGACACAGTTCAATGGAAAGCTTGTCCATTCCCCGCTGATTCGCCGAATTTATTGCGCAAAGAAGCGCGAGTTTTGGTTTTTAGTTTGAGACAAGCCTGTTCACTTTGGATTGAAGGAATTTGCTATGATGACTGGATTGAATTGTGGTTCCAAACCAAGTAAGGAAGCTATGAAGAAAGTGATGGATGATGGCCAAACATTCTGCGACAAAGTTTGCTAGTCTAGCAGGAAAGAGGGGGATGTAGAGCTGCTTTTAAAACAGTTGAAGTTTAAGAGGTTTGACACATTCAAGAGGTTTAAGATTGCATTGGTGTGGTTTGTCCATTCAGTCTTGCTTGCAAGGGATAACATAACGCGCGTCGATAAGAAGTGGATTCATATGGCTAACAATCTGAAATTTTTCTTGAATTATCCGTGGGAAAAAGGAGTGTTTTGAGCTTACAATTGAGTACTTGAAGAAGGACGTATTGCCAATGTAAAAATCATATGTGAGCAAGAGGAAGGAAAACAATATCTCTGGTAAAAAGTCCAAATCGGCTAGTTATGCCTTGTATGGCTTCCCATGGGCATTCATGATAAGTATTAAAATAACTTTCTCAAATTTTTTTGCAGTTGAGTACTATTATTTTTTTACTACAGACAGAAATTAATACTTTTTGGTTCATGAAAAAATGTAGGCATGGGCATACGAAGCAATTCCGCTATTTGGTCGTAGTGCCGAGAAATCAAAGGTCGTACCGATGCGGCTGCCAAGGATGTTGAGATGGCACAACAAGAAAGTGATATCTGACCCTGATTGGGATCCCTTTAATCAGAGAGTTGATGACCCCGGTTTGTCAAGATAAGGAGTGCAATAACACTCCACTAGTAGATTAGAATCAACCAAAGTAGGAAATTATCATAGACCTCGTCTCTATTATTTTGTATTGCTTGTCTAATAACTTCTATCTATGCTATATTTTAGGAGGTTCACCCTTACCTTATTTCTACCCTACGTGAGATGGATATGAATAACATGAAGAATTTGGTACCATACGACGAGGTAGCGGATCCTATAATCGACCAGCTAGCGGGTGATTTTGAATGGGTGACTGCCATTATAAAAACAACGAGCTTAGAGACTAATGATGAAGCTGACATTGCTAATGATGACCCTTTGTGTGGGAGTATTCCTGGTTTACCACTAGTTGGTGGTATTTCTGGTATTGGTATAGGAGGACCATGGAGGATGTGCAATGCTCAGCCAAGTGATATAGATGTGCACAAAGAGTTGAAGGTTGTGAATGAGAAATTGGATAAGAGTTACAAGAGCAAATTGAGGAATGCTCCAATTTCTGCAAGCAATATGAGAAAGCTGAAACAGAGCAAGAAGAAGAAGCCAAGGGTAGACGTACTCAAATCAGTTTTGGAGGAAGATAAGAAATTATTCTGTGAATGGTATGGCAAGAAGGAGAAGTTTCCCAAAAACTTCTTGACTGGCAGCTATGGCTGGAGGTTTTCGAGTAGTTGTGCGGTCCTAAACCGTCCGTTTTAATTTTTATATGTCTCTTAATCACCCACTGCGTGTATTTTTTTAGTAGCTCCATATTTAACGTATAATTTTTTTATAATATTTAGCATGTGGAGGAACTTTTGACACTGATGCGTGTACGAAACGTAAAACGTCCACGCCTTTATGCCCGTAGTCATGTTGTTTTGGATGTTGCATAATGCAACAACATGTGCATGGGATAAGATCAAGGAGGCTGCCAATAAAGAGGGAAATGATTTGGACTTTTGTAAGACAGTTGATGCTTGTCAAGACCTGTGTCTTACACCCTTGCTGCTGTATCATTAAGGAAGTATACCAAAATCTGGGGCTGTGGAGTGGTGCAAGGCTAAGTTATTGTACTGTGTGTGAAAAATTGATAACAAATATTTTGTGCCTGTTGTTTTCCACTTGGCATAGGGTTTGATTCGAATTTACAATAGCAATGTCAGTTTGTATGATGATGATAAACTAGAAGAACTGGTACAACCCCTTGCACTCGTGATGCCTAGGATTTTAATGAAAACTTGCCAATTTGCAAACTAAGGCCAAGATATGCTTACGAAGAAATGGTCTTGCCAGCGTATTATGGATGAGCCAGCCATTCGGAAAAAGGTAAATTAAATGTGTCATCCATTATATTTTACTCATTCTTCTGGTTTCTTTAATAATTAATTATGTCTTTTATTATTGTAGTGAAAGCAGTGGAGCATATGCAGTGAAGGTTATTGACTTCCTGCTAACTGATACGCCGCTGGATCAGCTTAATGACAAGTGAATGGTGTTGTTCAGGGAAAATTTGCAGTTGATATCTTTAGGGGAAAGATGGACCCTTCTTAGTTTTATAATTGAAATTTCAAGTTGTGTTGCCAATGGGACAAATTCATTTTGGGTGAACTTGTAGTAATTTATGATATTTGCATCTACCTCTATGTAATGAAACCCATTCACCAGAATATAGATCGCATACTAATATATAATCTCCCATCAGTCTATTGTGAACTAGTAGTCTATTATACAATAGTGGTCGAGCGTTGTACAGATTTTTTTTGTAGAAACCCAAATTAACAATGACGAATAAGATGAGATGAAAACACTTACCAGATGAAGGAGGTACACAATACACCACGTGGAATGAATTATCAATCCAATGTACCACCAATTTCTTTCCCAAATTCGACAGATCCAAAAAAACCCCAATTTGTCAATTTTTACAAAGTAAATGATAAATCAAAAGAATGAAGTTTTGAGAGGAATGAGGAAGAAGGGAGACGACCTCTGTGTGTTGAATGGAAGAAAAACAAGCTGTAATAGAGAAATCAGCCGTGGGAAATGGGGATTGGGGCGACAGATGAGGCGGGAAGGGATGAAATTTTTTTTCTTTTAAAATCTGGTAATATTACATTTATATAGGTTGGGCCCAAAGAGTAATAACTGAAACTTTAGGGATAAAGACGCAAAAGTCGCCCTTTCACCTTATAATCGCACTTAACCATTAATTAAGCATGAATGTCAATTTTACCATAATTAAAACTTGAAGGTTACTTGACCAATTCAAGTATAAAAAGAGGTCATCTCACCAATTAGCCAAGTAACTAGTGGGATTGGCTGGCACTATTTTGTAGAGGAAATGGTTTAATATAATGCTTTATAAATTGAATTGAAGCAGATGATTTTATAATAAAATTATGTTTTATTTTCAGATCTCGCAAAAAAAATAATTTTTTTTAAAGAATACTGACATAAAACTCATATTTTTTTTAATAGGCCACAAAAATCAATTGACCTTGTAGACGTGTAATCTGCATTAGCAATTTATTAGGAGCAATAACTTTTGAAGAAAGTCATTCTAAAAATCAGGAAATATAGCTAGATTGGCCTTGTACAGCAAACTTTAATAGGAGTAATAACTTTCAAAGAAGGTCCTTCTGAAAAACTGGAAAAATAAATTGATGGAGCCCACTTGGTACTTTTTGGCTTTGTATGTACAATAAGATGATCATCATCACCACTATAAAGCAAGACCAAGAAGATGAGCTCTTCCATTATTACACACAGACCATAATAATATAGCAATAGTTTCTTGTCATACCCTTTTCTCTCTTTTTTCTTTGCAAGAAAGAAGAAGGGGGTTATGATAATACAGCTAATAGGAGTATATTAAAAATAAAAGAGGTGGGTTAATTTTATGAGCTGATGCTGAAATTGTGTACCTCAAATAATAACATGGATCTTGGGAATTCTTGGAATAGTAGTAGCAGTGTCAGCTCCCATACTTGTTTAAGTATAGATTTCAGTTACTTCCATTCAGCTGCCTTGTTTTTGTCTTTTGGGAGCTCAATTGCAGTACCTAAAATGGCCTTAAATAATTCCTCTTCCAGTAAACCTTGTTATGCTGATGATTTAATTCTCAAGTCTTCTTCTTTTTCTTATTCTTGAAGTAGAAAACTCAAATTTGATCACCACTCCGCTCCCTCTTCAAACTGTTTTGTTTTGTTTTCTTTTATTTGTTTGTTTCTTAGTTTTCTTGATTGTTGTCATCAGCTTTTTTTGTCTCTTACAAAGACCTTTTGGGACTCTATAAATCCTAGAGAAATGCTGTGTGTATCACTGCCAGGGTTAGACGGTGGTGCTGTGAAAGCATCTTCACCAGCTATGGCTTCTTTGGATATTTACAGCAGGTAAATTTTTGTCCTTTTCTGTTCAAGAATTTAATTGGGTTTTGTTGAATTTTGGTTCTTATTTTGGGTTTTCAAGAAGAAGTGTTTTTTTTTTTTTTGGTTTGTTGAATTTTCATTACTATTAGTTGTTTATCGGTAAAGAAGCATTTGTGTGCTAGTAGTATTTACTAGGCAATTCCCAGAGCCTTTATTCTTTACGATCATCAGGTGTGGTTTTGATGGTGGTATTGGATGTTGGACTGGGAATGGGAAAGGAAAGTGGAACAAATTGGCTGCTGCTACTGCAAAGGCACCAAAGAAGAGGAGGTTCAACATTTCTCCTATGGCTTCCTCTGCTCTAGCTGAAACCCGATGTACTTCTAGAGCCAAATTTTATCAGGAGGTTGGGGCTATTATTTCTTGTGATATCCCATCTTTATTCATGTCGTTAAAGTGGTGTGATTTGGTATTGTGAATTCAATTTCTGCCTTTAATCAGTTCGTTCCACTCAAGATATTTTTAAATATGGTGGTAGAAATTGGCGCATTGATTGAGGATTTCGCAATTTGGCAGGTTCTTAATGATGCCAGGGAAAATTTTACCCAGGAGATATCTTTCCAATCCAAGGACAGAGATATTTCTCTGGCAAAGGTAAATATTTATGAGTCTTGCTCAGCTCTTTTTGTTCAAAGCAGTTGATCTATTGAATTGAATAATGAACAGTTTCAATTTCAAGTAACAAAAACCAAAGCTAAGTTCACTTTGTAAACAGCTATCTGTTCATAAATAGTTGCTGGCATTGAGGAATGGTACATCTGTTTATGAATATCGGCAGATGTCATAAAAGTAAAATCAGCTTTTTGCCTTTGTAAATTGGCTTTCTCCTTCACTTTTATCATTATTGATCGCTTCTCATGCGTGTTGGTTGTTTTCTATTGTCCGAGTAGGCTTTGCTTTATGTGGCCTCTGAAGACGAGGCATTTATGGCTTTCAACCGGGAGATGGATGCATATTCTCTCCAAAGTGAGAGGAGATCTGCTTCATTGCCTTCTGATGGCACAGAATGGACATGCGTGGAGGCCATGCCTCTTGCTGGAAAGAATATGAATGAGTGGATGGTTGAGTTGGATGTCATTGCTAGAGAAGTGGAGGCAGAGCTAGTTTCGAGAGAAATAGGATGCGATTTGGCTGAAGTTTTGGATGCAGTGAACATGGTTCTTTTTAGGTCAAGGGGATTCAAAAGGTCATCTGTACTTGTGGATTCAAAGTGCGCGTACCTGCATTCAGTGTTAAGCTCTGGATATTGTAGTGGTATTTCTTCCTTTCCTCCCCACCCACTATCAGTGTTATTTTGCCTATGTCCGAAATCCTGCAACCTCAAAATACTTGTTGAGCACCGATAATGCTATCTGACATAGTGCTTACCTTTTGTACAGCAATTTTGCTTAGCGTCATTTATATTGAAGTCTGTCGAAGACTTAATCTGACCATTGTGGGATCCCGAGTTGGGGAAGATTTTTTAATATGGCCCCAAACTGGAAACCCTGAGGTTTGTTATTCTAAATTCATAGATGATGTCAACATTTGTCTTAGTTCATCCATCCTGCAGTTTGTAAAGCATGATATTGCTGTCCAGTAATCTCATTGGGTTTGAACTGTTTTGCTACTCTTATAGGAGCTATTCAAGGTTATTTCTGGTCACAGCTTGTTTGGTATTGTTAATGGCAAGTGTGTCGACGACCCTAGATCAAGGGCTTCTGACATCAATAGTAATTCGTTGCCGGGGCTTGAGTTAGCAACAAACCGAGATATTATCGGAATAGCTTTGGCTAATTTGATGGTAAGATTTATTCTCCTGTAAAGTGAAGTCTGTAGCGCATCACATTCATCAATATCACCGTGTTGATGCTGTGGTTGTGATTTTGGTGGAATGATTGATCAATGATCAAAACTTTTTTTTGCAGAGGCTTCACTGGAAACGTGCTTCAAGAGCAAATCATGGTTTGATGCTGACTTCTCCCCTTAGATCTGTTGATCATGCAGATGATAAGTCTAATTGTCTGAATGTCCCATTGTTGCGGCCTCAAGATTTGAGGTAACGATCTTATCCTCTGTTGTTTCACTTTTACTACTTTTGGGTCTCGTTCCTGATTAAGCAGGCGCCACTTTGTGTTGTCCCTACAGGTTCAAGATGCTAAATTGCAACCTTGGCATGAGAAAGGGAGAAATGAGAATTTTGGACGCATATTTTTATTCTTATTTGATTCTAACATTCTACTAAGATTCTAACATTCCACTAAAATAACCATTTAACCCATTGTGCTGAAATATGATCGGTGCTTATTCCTCCAATTAAGTTTATAAGAAAACATAATGGGGTTCCTGATCCCTCACTGCTATAGCTCTATTTTGGTTATATAAGTCCTTTCTATATACTATATACTGATCAAATTGAAGAGATACATATCTATGCTCATGCGCATACATTTATGATATTTGATAGTTGAGGCCAACTGTATGGAGTTTTTTCTTTTCACTGAATCCACTGATTCTTCTTACAAAATCAAGTTATTCATCTAACCAAATGCCACTGTTTTTAAACAGGCATACTTGGAAAAGGAAGAGGTACCGGGGGGGGGGGGGGTTTGGGGGCACAGAAGTAGCAATAATTATGAGAGATCACTTGCTTGATACCGTGTTACATGTGTCTAGCAGCATTCTTCTGGTCTTTTACATCATAAAATATATCATCCATTATAACTGAAATATGTGAAGGTCTTCTGCATCTATATTCTCTTTTAGGGGAGCATCTCTGCTTCTGTTTCTGATACCATTAAGAACTCATTATATTCCTGTTGTTTTCTTCCGTTATACATTCTACTAAGGTGGTTATAATTGGTACCTGTTATTTCTTGGTTAAAAACATGTATGTATATCAAGTAACAAGTAAGTAAGAATTGACGTATTTACTGGACTGCAGTATACTGTGCACCACACACGTTGGACAGGAAGAGTTTTTAACTAATCAAACACTAGTTGGCATTTGATGATGATCTGTTAAGCATTAAGTTTTTTCTGACATGCAAAACCATGCTAGTAGGATTAATGATGAATCATTTTCTACTTTACTGTTCTCAAAGAGCCAAGATATTTATTTGCACATAAATAAGAGCTGTGTTTAAATTAAAGGTTTTCAGGTTGTCATGCACAGATGTCTGACCTTTCCCTAAGGGATTAAATTTGTGTGTAATATCTGTTCACTTATAATGACATTATGTCTCTCTGGAATGGTACAATACTTTCTAGGCTGGCCATTATGGCTTCAGAAAGATTGCTCATTCTGCAGCCACACAATTGGGCTCTGAGGAGAGACCATGGCATGATGTTGTATTATAGTAGGTATGTGTATCTTAAATTTTCTTGGCTTTTCTCATTTTTGACAAGCCTTTATTGAACAAACTATTTTGACAAATAAACATATACATCAGGGAATATGAAGAGGCAGTTCAGGAGCTTAGCATTTGCATGGCCTTTGCCCCAGAAGAAGAGGCACAAGTTCTGGAACCTTTTGTTGAGAAATTACACTTGTTGCGGGTTGAATCATCTTGGAAGTCTCGGGGAAAGAAAGGCCATTTAACAGTTTCTTGAATTGTTTGTAGAAAAGCTGTAGCTGTTTCTGCTTTAAGTTTGTATCAAGAGCACAGCCAGTACTACTTTAGCTGTAATCTCTTTTTTTGAATTCTGTAAATATATTCCTTAGACAAGCTAAAGTTGCTTCCTTTCTAGTTTTCTATAATGAGATGAATAACAGAACTAGAACAGCTTCAGGCTGTGATCTAAAACCCCTCTCTTCTTCTTCTTTTTTTCTTTTCTAAATATCGAAAAAATTCGCTATGGACTTCTGGCTCGACTCCAGTTGGCTCACAGGTCTGAAACTCCAGGTAAGAGTGACGCCCCTATACTACAATGACGACGACGACTTAGTAAAATTCCATTAGTAGGGGTCTGGGTAGTGTGTATGCAGACCTTACACCCCTATCCCGTGGGAGCAGAGAGGCTGTTTCCGAAAGACCCTCGGCTCAAGAAAACGAAAAGAGAAAAGAGACAATATATCAATATCATCAACAGAAACCAAAGGAATAATAACAGCATCATAAAAATCAGAAAATATATGAAAAGCAATAGCAATAACCAATAAATAGACCTAGCACTATGAAAAACGAAAGAGTAATGAGAACACATCATTAACCACTAGAAATCTAAGACAAAAATCCTACCCGACTAGCCTCACATAGTTACGAAGTAAAATAGGCGCAACTACCTCCTACCCTACAACCCTAATACTCGACCTCCACAACTTTCTATCAGGGGCAATATCCTCGGAAATCTGAAGCCACGCCATGTCCTGCATGATTACCTCTCCCCACTACTTCTTAGGCCGCCCTCTACTTCTTCTCGTGCCTTCCAAAGCCAGCCGATCACACCTCCTCACCGGCGCATCTAAGCTTCTTCTTTGTACGTGCCCGAACTATCTGAGCCTCGCTTCCCGTATCTTGACATCAATGGGGGCCCACCTTCTCCCGAATATCATCATTCCTAATCTTATCCATCCTAGTGTACCGCACATCCACCTCAACATCCTCATTTCTGCTACTTTCATTTTCTAGATATGTGAGTTCTTAACTGCTCTACACTCAGCTCCATATACCACGGCCTGTCTAACCACGACTCTATAAAACTTACCATTGAGTATCAGCGGTAGTTGTCACACAGGATTCCAGATGCTAACCACTTCATCCACCCCACTGAAATACGGTTTGTGACATGACATCCTCGTCGATCTCCCCATCCCCCTGGATAACCAACCCTAGGTACTTGAAACTGCCTCTATTGGGGATGACCGGTAATTCAAGCTTCACGTCCATGTCTGCTTTCCTTGGCTCGACGCTCAACTTGCACTCCAAGTACTCCGTCTTAGTCCTGGTCAAGCTGAAACCCTTAGACTCAAGGGCCCGTCTCCAAACCTCCAGCCTCTCGTTAACGCCGCCCCGTGTCTCATCAATCAAAACTATATCGTCAACAAATAACATACACCATGGTACCTCCCCTTGAGTATGGTGTGTTAGTGCGTCCATCAACAGGGCAAATACGAACGGGCTGAGCGCAGATCCTTGGTGTAGCCCCATAACAATTGGAAAATGTTACGAGTCGCCTCCTACTGTCCTAACCCGGGTCTTAGCTTCATCATACATGTCCTTAATCACCCTAATGTAGGCAACCGACACACCTTTTGTCTCTAAGCATCTCCAAAGAACCTCTCTAGGAACCTTGTCATACGCTTTCTCCAAATCAATAAACACCATGTGCAGATCCTTCTTCCTATCGCTGTACTGCTCCACCAACCTCCTAATAAGGTGGATAGCTTCCGCAGTAGAACGACCCGACATGAACCCTAACTGGTTGTCGGATGTAGACATCGTCCTCCTCACTCTCACTTCAACCACCCTCTCCCAAATTTTCATGGTATGACTTAGTAATTGTATACCCCTATAGTTGTTACAACTCTGGATATCACCTTTGTTTTTATACAACGGAACCACCATACTCCACCTCCACTCATTCGGCATACCTTTCGTCCTAAAAATAACATTAAATACCCAGTCAGCCACTCCAAGCTTGCTCTTCCCACACACCTCCAAAATTCTACCGAAATTTCGTCTGGCCCGGTCGCTCTGCCCCTACTCATCGTACGTATAGCTCCCACGACCTCCTCAACCTTGATGCACCTACAGTACCCAAAGTCACAGTGACTCAGAATGCTCCAATTCGCCTAGCACAATGTCTCGATCCCCTTCTTCATTCAGAAGTTTATGAAAGTAAGTCTGCCATCTGCTCTTAATCTGGGCCTCTCCTATCACTACTCTACCGTCCTCGTTTTTGATGCACCTTACTTGGTCCAAATCCCGAGCCTTCCTCTCTCGTCTTGGCCAACCGGAATAACTTCTTCTCCCTGCCTTTGCCCCCAGTTCCTAGTAGATGACCAAAAGCCGCAGTCTCAGCCTCTGTGACCACCAACTTAGCCTCATTTCTAGCTACCTTATACCTCTCCCTGCTTGCTCTCCCCTCCTCCTTGCCTGTGCTCCCTGCTAACTTCAGGTACGCCGCCTCCTTCGCTTCCACTTACCTTGGACCATTTCATTCCACCACCAATGTGACGACCCAAAGGGTCATCACCTGTTTTCTTACCCATTTTGTGCTTCCGAGGCCTTGAAAACCTTGTTTAGGGTTGCCTCGATTTGCGTGTGCAGTCCAGGCGCGTAGCCGGAAAGCTTAAATATTTATTCTATGAGAAAAATGCTAAATTTTGATATTAAAATGAATAAATTTGACTTCGGTCAACATTTTGGGTAAACGGACCCGGACCCGTGATTCGATGGTCCCGGAGGGTCCGTAGGAAAATATGGGACTTGGGCGTATGCCCGAAATCGAATTCTGTGGTCCCAAGCCCGAGAAATGAATTTTTGTGTGAAATTGTTTTCTGGAAATAATTAAGGAAATTGGAAATGAAATTTAATTAGAAGACTATGGTATCGGGCCCGTATTTTGGTTCCGGCACCCGGTACAAGTCTTATATATGATTTAAGCACTTTCTGTAAAGTTTGGTTGAAAACGGACGTCGTTTGATGTGTTTCGGACTTAAAATGGAAATTTGATGTTTTATGAAAATTTGGAGGGATCATGAGTTTTGAGGCTTGATTCGATGTATATGATGTTGTTTTGGCGATTTGATCGCACAAATAAGTCCGTAGGATGATTTTGAGGTGGTGTGTATGTTTGGTTTGGAGCCCCGAGGGCTCGGGTGAGTTTTGGATAGGTGTCGGAGTGCATTGTGAACTTAGAAAAAATCTGGTGCATTCAGTCCTGCAATTTTCGCATTTGCGAAGCAGGCCTCGCAAATGCGAGCCTGGCATCGCAAATGCGAGGAAGGGAAGATTGTAGCTGGGTCGCAAATGCGAACAATTGGTTCGCAAATGCGAAAGTGAGCCAGTCGCAAATGCGACCTTCAGGCTCGTAAATGCGAAGTCTGGACTATCGCAAATGCAACATAAGTATCGCAAATGCGATGCCCTTGTTTTTGCTCAGTGTTCGCAAATGCGAACATGACTTCGCATTTCCCATATTCGGTCGGGGTTCGCAATTGCGAACTGAGGTTCGCAATTCCCATATCTGAGGCCCAGCAAATTTTATACTTAGTCGAATTTGAACCATTTTTAACCATTCTTTCAAAACCCAAACTCCTTAGGCGATTTTTCAAGAACAAGTTTCATTCCAAATCATTTGTAAGTCGATTTTTACTCAATTCTTTCAATCATTAACATCATTTAACATGTTTTCCACTTAAAATCAATGATTTTCATGGGTGAAATTGGGGGTTTTGGGTAGGACCTAGTTTTTTCTAAAATTGGAGATTTGGACCTCAATTTGAGGTCCGACTTTAAAACAAATCACATATTTGGGATCATGGGGAAATGGGTAACCGGGTTTTGGTTCGAACCTCGGGTTTTGACCACGTGGGCCCGGGGGCGATTTTGGAATTTTTGGGAAATTCATTTTATGCATTCAAATTGATTCATTTAGTGTTTATTAAAGTAATTGAGTGACTTGTGACTAGATTCGAGCGGATTGGAGGTGGAATCACGGGGTAAAGCTATAGTTGAGGCTTGAGTTGAGTTCAAAGCATCGAGGTAAGTGTTCGGTCTAACCCTAGCTTGAGGGATTAGGAGTTGAGTCATAATTGCTACTTGTTTTGTGTGGAGTACGACGTATGGGCATGGTGACGAGTATCCATGCGTCGGTGTCGAGCATGACCGTGAGTCTTAATTTGACAATTGTGTACCCTTGTTTGATCCTATGAAATTTGTCTGAATATTGGTATTAGTTGTGCCAAGAAAAAGTTGAATAGGATTGGTTATAGTTGTCTCTCCCTTGTCGGGACATTTGATTTGATATTTTGTTCCCTTGCCGGGAAGATATTATATTGTTGTTCCCTTGCCGGAAAGTTATTATATTGTTGTCCCCTAGCCGGGGTTATTTTGTTATGTTGTGTAAGATTGATGAAATGGGAGCGGGTGGTACGCCTACCACAATTGATATTGAAAAGGGAGCGGGTGGTACGCCTACCACGAGTGATATTGAAATGGGAGCGGGTGGTACGCCTACCACGAGATATTGAGAAATGGGATCGGGTTGCACGTCTGCAACAAGATGAGTTGAATATGAAAGTTGCCTTATCTCTTCATTTATTGCTAGAAGTTAAACTGTAGATGTACGCTCTATTATTCCTGATATTTTATTTCTATCTGTTGCCCCTGAAGCATGCTCCCTTCCCCAGCTTAAATTGTTATTTTCTTGCTATTTCTCTGTTGTACTTGTATATATATATATCTGCACAGGTTATCTGGAGTCTGGTCCTAGCCTCATCACTACTTCGCCGGGGTTAGGCCAGACACTTACTAGCACATGGGGTCGGTTATGTTGATACTATGTTCTGTGCTCTTTTGCACAGATCCAGGTCTTGGACAGCAGCAGCAGCAGTAGCACGGGAGGCAACCTTCAATCCAGTGAGATACCGAGGTAGCCTTGCAGGCGTCCGCAGGCCCGGCGTCTCCTCTATCCCTTACTTTAGTCTGTTATCTCATTGTACTCGAGACAAACAGTTATATTTCTTTCAGACATTGTATTTAGTACTCTTAGTAGTTCGTGAGTATGTGACACCAGCTCTTGGGTAGAGGTTTATGTTGATTTTCTGCATTGTGGTTCAGATTCTTTACTTTAAGACTTC